GGACAAGGGCCGGGAAGGAGGGGTACCTGAGACCCCGGGAGACCTCCAAGGGAGGAGGCTGCGGAGGAAACTGGAGGCTGAGACCACGGAGCAGCCCTGAGACCAGGGCAAGGGTAGGTGGATTTGCTGTTTCCCCTCCCCTGCATTCGGACTGCTGGTGGGCTCCCAGCGGGTGGAGGAGACCTGCGGACACCAGCCCAGAGACGCCGGCCGCCTGCCAACGGTGAGCCTGTAGCAGACGTGGCACCGAGTTCCCAACTTCTCCGGGCACCTCCGTGTGCACAGACCCGAGCGCGCGGCAGGCGCATATTGCCTGCTCTCCTCCCCTCCGCCGACCCTACCCGCGGCTGCGCAATAAGCGCACCAGGCCGAGCACCTCCAGGAACAGGACCTTCCCGTTTGGGACACCGCGCGCCCCCTCCCAGGTGCTGCTGGCACCCTGTTCCCAGGGACGTGCCACTCAGAGGCTGAGAACATAGACCCAGCGCTTGGGCTCCCTGTGGTGGAATTAAGGACCGAAATCCTCTCCCTGGTGGGGAATACAGTTTGAACTCTGGGACCAGAGGTCGGACCTGGCAGATCCGAGGATCCCCTGCACCGAGGCTAGCATGCTGTTCCGCGTGCACAGAAGAGGTTAATGACAGCCTACATGAGGTGTGTGTCCTCCAGGGCGGAATCGGCGTCCTAGAGTGCAAACCCTTCTCGCAGGAGGAGGGCCATGCGGCCGCCAACCCAGGTGGCGTCCTGTGCAGGGAACCGCCTCCCCGCCGGCATCACAGGTCCGGGAGGGCCTGGGTGGCTGTGTGTCTGGCTGCTGGCAGAGGCCTGGGAGTAGCTGGCAGAGTTGGGAGGGGGGAAAGAAAGCAAGGTCCCGCGCCAGGACTGCGGGTCGTTCAGACAGCCCACCCACCACACAGACCTTTCGTGCTCTGGAGCGACCATTCCAGGCCCGCCCTCGACAGCTTCCCTGGATAGCGAGAGGGACAGAACTTTGACCGCCTGGCTAATGGCCTGAGGGCAGGCGTTACCCGCAACCCAGGCTGCGCGCCCAGAACGAGGGGGCTGATAACAGGACTCAAAATCAACCACCGCATAGCCTGTTCTTCCAAGCAAACGGCCATCTACTTTTGGACGACGACGAATAAGGACAGACATGTACATCAAGGAATGGAATAAAGAGCCCAGAAAGATACCATGCATATATGGTCAACTAAATTTGACAAAAAGGCTGAGGCAATTTTGTAGAAAGGAAAAAAATCTTTACTATTTGGGATGGGCAGGACTTCTTAGATAGAGTTACTAAAAACATGAACCACAGAAGAAAAAATTGATAAACTGAACTTCATCAAGATTAAAAATTTTGCTTATCAAAAGAAAACATCAAGGGAATTATAAAGCAAGCAGCGAACTGAAGAAAAAAACTCCATATATTTGACAAGTTGCATACAGAATATATAAAGAACTCTAAAACATCAATATCAAGAAGAGAATGCAATGGGTGAAAAAAAGGCAAAAGGTTTGATAAACACTTCACAAAAGAAGAACGGCCAATGATCACATTACTCATTGGGGAGACACAAATTAATTCTACAAGGTGATACCACTATTCTCATTACAACCGCTAGAATTTAAAGGCATGACGATACCAAAAGTTGGTGACTATACAGAATGGAACTCACACTAAGTTGCTAGTGAGATTCCCAACCACATTGGGAATCAGTTTGGCAGTTTCTTTTCAAGTTAAATATACACTTAATATATAACTTAGTATTTACTGAAGAAAAATAATTATGTCCGTATAAGAACTTGTACATCAATGTTTAATAGAAGTTTCATTCATAAAAGGTAAAAACTGGAATAACCCAAATGTCCGCTACCAGACAACTAGATAAATAAAGGTATAGCCACGCAATGGAATACTATTCAACAATAAAAAATGAACTAGTCTTACACATGACAAATTGAAAATATGCTTTGAAATAAGCCAGATACAAAATGACAAATATTGTATGTTTCCACTTATATGAGGTAACTAGAATAGTCAAATTCATAAAGACACACAGAATAGTGGTTACTAAAAGGAGAGGACGAGGTATTATTTAATAGGTACAGAGTTTCAGTTTGAGATGACAAAAAAGTTCTAGAGAGGGATGGTGGAGATGGTTGCACAGTACTGTGAATGTAACAATGCCACTAAACAGTATGCTTAAAAAATGGTTATGATGGTAAATTTTGTCTTATGTATACTTACCCCTACCTCCACAGACATCCATATAAACCGTTATGCCGAGGGAAAGAAGCCAGACGGTAAAGGAGTAAATACTGACTGGCCCTTTATATGGTGTGTCAGAACATGTAAAACTAAACTATAATGGTGGAAACCACATTAATGGTTGCCTGGGATGGGGGGTGGAGGAGTGAAAAGGCCTAGAGGTAACTTTTTGGAATGAACACAATGTTACAGATCATAAATAGGAAATGTATATCTTACATTTGTAAGATATATACACATTACTCAAAAATACACTTAAAATGGGTACATACTTGCTATAACAAAAGAGCACAAAGAAGAATTTTTAAAATTAAATTTAATGGGCACATACTATTGCATACAAATTGTACTTTGATATAGTCATAAATAAATACACTGATAAGCAATTAAGTTTGAAGAAGAAATGCAACAGAGTAACATATAATATTATAGATTGTTCTTTCTAGGAATGAGGTTATGTTGTGGAGTACAAAGAAGTCAGCCACTAAGGGAAATATATAGTCAAAAGAATATGGTTTTTTTAAAGATAAAAGAGAAATGAGTTTATTTAATGCCAAGGGGAAAACAGCTATTTGAACCCAGGTTGAAAATCCAAAGAAAAAAAAAACATAAAGACTTGGAATGTTTTGTTGCCAGCGCTTGAAGTATATGAAATTCTGTTCTTTACATCCCCACTTCAATGAAACATTTATGCCAAAAAAAAAAAAAATGTAAAGAAAATGGTTTGGCAAGTTCAAGTAGAAAAACGTGGATTGAAATATCCAGTAGAGGAAACTTAGCAAATTCTAAGAAATCAAGAACACATTATTCATACATACCTATATATTAATAGTAAACAGAGTAATAATGAGGTTCTTAAGAAGTATAAGCAGATTTGTACTAATACTAATCCTGTACCAACACAGTGACATTCTATAAAGAAATTATCAAAAAATTATCAAAAATCTCGCATTTTCCTAGAAAGTAAAGGACTATTAAAACCAAAACAACATGCTATAATATTTCGAGTATTTCCCAACTTGGAAGATGAAATAAAATGAGTCAATGAGATGATATCCTTCAATGAAATCCTTCAATGATACATTCTTTATTTCTCCCCTGCAGGGGGAGAACTCAAAACCATTAATAAATAGTATCAAACTAATGGTAATAGCTTTTCAATGCTATCAAACAATTGTGATAAGGACATCCACAGCCATCATGTTGTAAATAACCTCATGAGAAGATCATCTTCAAATACTGAGGATAACAATTAACTGTTTTCCCAATAAAAGAACACTATTTGAGGTTAATGACAACTCTAGTAACTAGAATAGCCAAAGAATTCTAATGAAAGAAGTTACTGCTTATCTCAGGTAACACACTAAAATCAGACTACGGCATGTATTTTGAATTCTTACATCGTATATTCTCACATCCCCAAAACATCACTTTTTTTGGTCACCTTGATACCCATGATACTATGATTTAGAGTAATATTCTACAACTAAAACATTATTTTAAGACCTCAACTTGAAAAACATTTTGAAACACACCTAATATTATCTTTGATCAGAAATAAAGAAAAAAACCCACCTACTACTGTTTTGAAATATGCAATTTAATGACAAAAACTAGTAATATTTTATCAACTTTTAGGTATAGTCTCTCCCTAAACTTAACTTTTACAATTTGTATTAATACATTTCTCTATAGATATCTTCATTTATTACTTTTTAAGACCCCAAAACTGGACATGTATATTGAAGAAATTACACATACAAAGTAGATGTGCCTCATACACATCATTAATAAACTGTAGTACTTTCAAACAATTTAGAACTATCATTTTCCAATTCAAAATCCCTTATTTCAAAGCATTATAAGTTAGCAAAGAGACAATAGATACTCTTGTAATAGACTAAAATAAAATGCTCTTTTCTGTTCATATGCTAAAGCAAAACCGAAGGTAACAGCTATGCCTCTGATTACAATATCAACCTATTTCAACAGTAGAGCTACATTTCAAACTTTTCCCTCTTGATAGCTGACTGCTGCAAATATTTCCATCAAACAATTTGAGAAATTAAATAAGATAATGTAAACTGGAAAGTGGTTTGCTTCTGGTGTTTCTTTTTTTAACCTTTTTAGATTTTTTTTTTTTTTTTGCCTTACAGTGTATCCTTTTTTCCCTAAAACTTTTTGCTCCCATAAGATCAAAAATGCAATGGCATCAAAACATATTTGTAATTTACTGTTTTCAAAAAGAGTTTCTCTCATATAATAATGCATTTCATATAAGGTTCTGTCTTACCTGGCCAGTTCTTTAATTAAGTTTGCTATGCGTCTTTTGTCTTCAAGACATAAATCCTTCAATGATACATTCTTTATTTCTCCCCTGCAGGAATTCTAAAACAAAAAATCTTTTGGTTAAACTAGAAAAAATTGGTTGTTTTCTAAAACTAATTTTTTAACTCTTTTCAAGAAATCTATTAAAACAAGCGTAGAAGGTGAAATTTCTTAGATATCTTTTATCTGGTGGAACACTATCTACCTGTTTCATTTAAGCCTAGTGTGAACTAAAAACAGGCTAAGGAACTAATTGTCCACTAGGGACTTCATGAAATCTACACAGAAAAGCACACAGAAAGAACTTAAAAGCAGAATATGTTCCTGCTTAAATACTAGGGAATATTAGGGAGACAACATTCCCTTGGGTGAATGTCACAGAAACAAATACCTAACAGAAGATAGTGATAACTTTTCTTACACCATAGCCCCTAGGCTGCTTAAGGGTATACTAAGGTTGGCAGCAGAGGCACCAGTAACTAACCATTCAAAATATCCCAAGGTTCATTCCAAAGAATACTAGACCAAAGAATAATAATAGTAATAGCTAACATTTATATCTAGTGCTTACCACATGCCAGGAATAGTCCAAGTACTTTGTACTTGTTATTCCATTTCATTTTCACAACAATGTTATTACATAGTTATTACTCCTGTTCTACATTAAGGGTACATATCCAGGATTATAATATTTAAACAGCAGAATTAGGATGCAAACATAGGCTCTAGAGTCTGCTCTTAAACATCATACTATCTTTATCTTTTGTGCTATGAAAAGTTCTCCCTGGTACTTTGGCATCATTAAGAGGGGTCTTTAAAGACATGAAACTCAGGGAATCACAAGAGAACCATAAGAAACATGTAAAAGGACGGAACTATGATCCTTGGCATTTGTGCAACCACCAAAGTAAGGTAGTCCAATTACTTCAGGGAGCCAAGCAGAAATGAAGACCCCTAAAATGAATCCTGGAAATAGAAATAATCAAAGATGGGAAAGAGGGTAGGAAAAGGAAATGGAGAAAAGGATACAGAAGAAAATAAAATAAGTTTGGCTTTAGAAATGCTCAATTTAAGATGTCAACAAGACATTCATGTGGAAATGTCTATGCAGGAAGTTGGAAAGGTACATCTGACTCTCAAGTCAGAGAAAAATCATAAAAATTTAAAACTCAGCCATATGGTATTATGGATGATATTTAGATTTTTATTATTTTATTTATACTTTTCTATGCTTTAAAATGTTCATTAATAACTATTATATACATTACCTTTAAAATTAAGAAAAATACTAGTTTTTAAAAATCATCTACAAATTTAAGAAGACTGGCATTTAATTTTAATGTAATTAATTTGACTTTAATCTAAATTGGCATTTGAAAGGACAGGAGGAGAATCAGAAGCATATTTATTATATTGTGGGGCAAAAAAGAAGAAAGAGTTTCAAGAAGAATGTGGGGTCAACAGTGCTAATGAACAAAAATGTCAGATAGACAGGGGAAAGAAGGCACTAGATCTGGCAATGGAAGAAGATGCTGATAAACCATGAAAAGACATTTTAATAGTGGTGCAGTGAGTAAATGAACAAAGAACAGAAACCCTCACACATAGGCAAAAACTTTAGCAGCACTGGGTTTAACAGCAAAAACCTGAAAACACAAATGTCTATCAACTAAAGAATAGTAAAACCATGGCATATTTATATAATGATTTTTTTTTATTTCGGCATATTATGGGGGTACAGATTTTAAGGTTTCAATAAATGCCCTTTCCCCCCTCCCCCCAATATATAATGAATTCTTCAAGTACTAGTTGTTATGCTCCTAACTTGTACCTTCCAACCCATCCTTCCATTTTCTGCTTTGAGATAGCGAGTCTAAGACTCTGGAAATCTCATTTCTCCTTTGCCACTTGGTTCTCTGTTAAACCACGCCAGTAGAAAGAACTAGACAGAGACCAGGAAGAAATGGTATATCCCTTCCTATTTGCTTCCTGTTACTATCACAGCCAGGTAGGTGCAGTGGCTCAAAGTCCAGCACTCTTGAGAGGCTGAGGCCAGAGGATTGTTTGAGCACAAGACTCTGAGGTTGCAAAGAGCTATGATCATGTCACTGTACTACAGCCTACGAGCCTGTCTCAAAAAGACAAAATAATAATAATCAATTCACATGGACAAATATCAAAAAGGATGCCTAATTTAAAAATTCTTATCAATTTGCTTTATTAACACCACAGATAAGAATGTAGGTCTTTTGAGACATAACAAAATTATACATTTTCTTAGCTAAGGCTTACAAGTCTAGAAATTTTAGAGCAAAATCCCTGAGTAACCTAGATACTGTATATCAAACACAGCATGATCAAAGGATCCTGGAATCCAGTATATCTTTTAAGATGCTTGTAGATCACCTAAGGTATTTTCAAAGGTCCTTCTACCCTTATTGGTCAGAACTTGTAAAGACTAGAGAATAAGAAAAAAATAAGCAATTACTGACCTGTTCATCTACGGAATCACCTGCACCTTTTAAAGATTCCATGGAGATTGAAGCATCAGTCACCCTAGAAGTCTTAATTTTAACATCAGCTTTTTGACTTGTCAACGTGTGTCTTGATCTGGTATTTTGTTCTGTAGTAATTCCTAAGGGTTTCCATTAAACAAGATTTCAAAATTATGTCTTATTCTCATAAGCCCTCCCCCCATCAACTTCTTCCTTGGTATCCTCTACTTTAGCAACCTAATGGGAAAACTATCTTACTGCATTTTAAAGCTTTTAACATGTGGATCATGAAAAGTTTATATTTTTAAAAAATACATTAAAGATTTGATTGAAAATTTTTTAATTTTTTTGAAGATTATATATTTTAATCTAAATTTCTTTTAAGTTTCAGGGATTTTTTTATTCAGAATATTATGGGGGTACAAATATTTTGGACACATGGATTGCTTTTGTACCGCTTGAGTCAAAGTTATAAGTGTGAAAATTTTTAATTTTTTAATTTATTTTTTTAGAGATGAGGTCTCCTATGTCTCCCAGACTGAACTCCAACTCCTGGGGTCAAGCGATCCCCCTGCCTCAGCCTCTCAAGTGACTGGGAGTATAAGCAGGTACTACTATGTCCTGCTCAATTGAATTAATTTTAAAAGGTGTTCTGAACATAAGTCACATTAAAACCAATAAATTACAATATGCCATAGATACTTTAATTTAGGGAAAAATCAAAGATGTTTTTCACATAATGAGGGTACTCTCAATGGTTTGGTTTTATAATTCATCTAGTTATAACCAGTAAACTTTGAAAAGTCCCTTACATATGCCCTGTATCAAGTTTTCACACTTTTCTTTGAAACGTTAAATTTAGGCTATCATTCATAAAATAAAAAAAAAAGAAAAAACTCTCTTTCCCCTTAATACCTGAAGTATTCTACAAGTTTGTTAAAAGCTGACTTGCCCATCCAGTCCCCAAGATGAGCCAGTACTTCAAACTTTTATAGGGTCATGCCAAATATTCAAAAAAATTTTAGGTTCTGATGTACTGTTCTGTATCTAGTTATACCTGCAAAGTTGTCCTAATGTTTTATTTTCTCGTACCACTTAAGGAGCAAAGGAAGCTTCCCAAATTTTAACATAAAAAAAATCATACCTGGAACATATACTACTGATTGTTCTTCATCAGAAACTATGCAGGACAATATGAAGGAAAATACAATAAAAGATTACCCAGTATCCAAATGCTGTCTCTGTTCTGTACATGTTACAATTTATCACCTCTTTGACCTGGGAATTTATAACTTTTAAAAACAAAACTAAAAAGAAAAGTAATAGAATTAAGTGTAGCAAAATTAATACTCTTTAAAAGTTCATCTCTGTATATTTATAACGTATGTTTTATAAAAATTTTGGAAGGCCTTGTTCCATGAAAATTTATCTAGTCTTATTCCCAAGTGGATTAACCTACAATATACATTCTGCTGGTAGGTTCTTTTCCATTTCCTTTCCTTTTGTAAACAAAGAATTAAGTGCTCCAGTTTGGTCATTACTGGGGAACTGACAAGTTATTTTAGGCAGAAAGAATTAAGTAATTTCAAGATGGGCTTTAGCTTTGAAGAACAAACACTGTTTGAGGGCAAGTCAATCATGCAAACACAAAGGCAATTATTTATTCTTCTGCAGTACATTCATGAAATGTCCCAAGAAGCCCTACTATTTAAAAAGTAGAAGAAATTTAAGTCAAAAAGAACTATTTTGAATTTCAAAAGGAAAAATTTAGAAAGGCTAAGATCATAACCCTGCTACAGAAAGAGAACCAATATAGTAAGAAAGCTTTCTTTCTAGAAACAAAATTTTACTGAGAACTCTATCCAAACTCAGATATGTCCATAATTTGATAACCTTCTATTACACTTCAAGGAAGGACGTATCTAAACATTTTTTTCCCAAATGATCTACAAAATTTCAAAGTATTATATTCATCTTTAATACAATGTTTTCAAAGATTTCTAAACAAAGCAATTATTAACTATATTCTTCCTGGAAAACACTAGAATAGATTTAATAATGTGTTCAACAGGTTAATATATTTCAGCTCAGTATCAATGCTAGTAATGGAAGATTTTCAAGGGATACTGATTGGAAATACCTAGTCTTCTACAGGAATTCAGGAATACTAAGATAGTACATACTGTCTGAGCTGCCAGTTAGTTTATAACAGCTCTCTGCAGCAGCACATGCACTATAACAGCTTCAAAATTTTGGCTTATAACTAGTGCCCCTAAGTTTTCAATTCCCTTAAATATCAGAGATTGCACTTAGAAAGTTTTGGGAGACAGGTAAGGCAAGTAAACAAACAAAAAAATTAGAACCCACTACTCCATGGAAATAGATAACTAATATGGGAGCAAAGAAAGAATCTCCAAGTTTATTGACACCCAATCTAAAATAGCTTTACAAAATTAAATTGTATAGGCTCTTCAACATCAAAAACTGATACTTTTTAAATATCCTTTGAGATTAGCCCAGGGTCTAGCACACACAGTAGGTGCTAAATAATTATTTGCTGTTTGAAACGTGCATGCGGGGGGAAAAAGTACCTGGGCGAAAAATCCAAGACAATGATGCAAGACAGGCTCCATATAGCAGTGTCTTTAATTAGAAAATACAGTAATGGTGAATTTTCACTATATTTTCCAAGGATGACCTATGGAAAGACTAATATAACTGAGTCCTATAAAACATATGATACTTCCCTAGACAGTTCACAACAGAGTATGCTCACAGCTGGAAGAGACCAGTCCCTGGGGACCCCATGCAGTTTCACCTTCTTTTAGATGCTCAAGGTATTTTTCACCTTCTCCTCATTTCTCTCATTTCTCTCATCCTTATGCTCAACTTTGCTTCCTATTTCTTTAAGAAAAACAAACTATAAAGACCTTCCCTAAACTTTTACCAGCATACCTGATCAACTTTCCTGTATCTATCCTCATATACTCCACTTTCCTTCTTTGTGCTATGGATGAACTATTCATGTTCCTATCACACAAAAAAATACCATTCTTTCTTTTTACTTAAGGATGTTGCTCCTGATATTCTCTTTCTCCTGAATCAACCATTTTATCCCATTAAACTTTTTCCATTAGCATCCAAACATGTAATAATTATTTTTTTCAGAAAAAAAAAAAAAAAACTCTCTTGACTCTATATCCCCCTCCAACTACTGTCATTCTTGCTCCCCTTTACAGTAAAACTTCAGGAAAGAGTCATCTAAGACTTACTGTCTCCAGTGTCTCTTCTCCCAATCAATCTTCAGCTGAACCTACCCCAATCAAGTTTTTGACTCCATCAATCCAGTACAACTACTTTTAACAGTTACAATGGCCTGCATCATTAAATCCACCAGTCAATTCTCAGGTCTCTTTGTATTTGATCTAATCAATAATTTTTGACATAGATGACCACTCTCCTCCTTTTTTGTTTGCCTTCAAAGCAAGAAACAACAAAGCAAAAAACAAGCAAATAACCACCCCAAATTCCCACCTTTTTTAGCTTGGCTTCAAAGATACCACACACTGAAAACTTTCTTCCTACTTTTCTAACCATTCCTTCTCAGTTTGCTCAAACTCTTCTTCACCTATAAACCTTGGGGTGCCCCAGCACCCATTCCTTGGAACATTTTTCTATCTACTCATTCCTTTGGTGATCTCATTCAGTTCTCATGTCTTTAAACTTCATCAATATGCTGACTTCTTTCTGCCAAATCTTTACCAGGAGCCTATCACCTAAACCTGACATTACCACTTTACATGTAAAAAAAAAAAAATCCCAAATTCAACATGTCAAAACCAATGTCCTAATCTTCATTTCAAAAGCTGCTCCTCCCACAGCAACTCCTCCTGCCCACCCCACCCAGTAAAAGGCAATTCCATCCTTCCTTCCCACTTCTCAGGCCAAAAACATGGGGTTATTCTAGACTTCTCTTTCACTCATACTTCACATTCAGAAACTCCTGCTGGCTCCACCTTTAAAACATATATACAGTACAACCACTTCTCACCAACACTATCCCCTTGATCCAAGTCACCTTCTCCTCTCACCAGGATTATGGCAAGAAGCTCCTAACTGCTCTCTCTCATTTCTGTGCATGACCCCTCAATAGCCTATTTTTCACAGTATTCAGAATGATCATTTCAAAAATGTCATTTCTCATTCATATTAAAAACCAAAGTATTTCGTTTTTTTGTTTTTAATATTTGCCCTTTGGGTGTAAAAAGCCAAAGTATTTTGAACTGCACAGCAGGTTCACTCTCTCTCCTCTCTCCCTCCCTCCCTCCCTCCCCCCTCTCTCTCTCTCTCACACACACACACACACACACACACACACACACACACACACACAGAGCCAAAAGTATTGTATTTATGTGGGCCTACAGTGCTCAAGATCTGATCTCTATACCCCATTGCCTCCCTGACCTCATTCCCTACTACTTTTCCCCTTACTCATTCCTGGCTTCCTTAGAGTTATTAATGAGCTATGCAAGCTCCTGCCTCAGAACTTCTGTGTTTAATATTTCTTCTACTCAGAAAGTTCTATCCCCAAAATCTTCATGGTTCACTCCTTCACCACACTTAGGACTTATGTCATAACATCATATGTTACCTTCTGATGGAGGCTTTCACTTCCTAACCACATAGGTTCTCAAAATTGCAACAATTCTCTCTTCTTACAACCTGTCTCCCTTCCTCTACTACCTGTCACTTTCCTATTTTCCTCCATAGTATCCATAATCACTGGACGTAAAACATAGTTTACTTATTTATGGCTTCATCTCAGCTCACCAAAATATAAGCACCAAGAGGGTGATGTTTTTGTTTTCTTCAATGTAGCACCCCCAAATATAAAAGAATGCCTGACTAGTAAGCAATTTATGAAAGAATTAAATTGATATTTAATTTTATAAAGCATTGTCCAACTTTCAGTGTTATCTATCTCATTCAAAATATGCAGACAAAACCTATTACTTCTAGCTATACCTTAACAAATTTCTTTTCAAATATAAAACACTCTAAATAAACTACCTTCAAAAGTTTTTAAAAATAAGAAAATATTTGAAATTGCTTCTATCCAACCTATCCTTTGTCATAATCTGTAATATATTTTCAAATCACTATTTTAAGAATCTAAATATTTATCTTCTTCAAGTACAGAATTTCCCAACAAACATATATTTTATGGGGTGGTCACAGAGACATATTATATACCAAAATGTATTAGACCTACTAGTGGGTCACATGTGCCACTTCACTTCTACTTTGATTTCTTTGGAAGTGCCTCAAAAAGACAAGTATAGCAAGTTATAAAGCATCTCTAATACTGATAGCCATCTATCCAAATCCCCAGAATTAAAGTAGTACAGTTGTCCCTTGATATCCTAGGCCTTCCTGAATTCTTGAGTGTGGCCTTTTGACTGAATCCAAATTTTACAGAACAAATTTTTTTAAGAAAGAGTTCTGTGAAGTCTGGATTCAGTTGAGAGGCTGCACTTGGAGATCAGGAGGGCCACAGGTATCCTTGAGGTTGTAGGTTCCCCACCCTTGTCCTAGGGGGATTGGTTCCAGATCCCCCACACCAACAAATAACAAAATCTATGAATGCTCAAGTCCCTTATAAAATGGCACAATATTTGCATATAATCTATACACATCCTCCTGTACAATTTAAATCATCTCTAGATTACTTATAATATCTAATACAATGTAAATGCTATGTAAATAGTTGTTATACTGTATTTTTAAATCAGTATTATTGTATTTTTAAATTTTTTTCCTTGAATATTTTTGATCTGCTGTTCAATTGCAGATGCTGGATCTCAGATACAGAGGGCTGACTATAATTAGAAACCCAGGGCAAAAGTAGGAAAAAGAATCTCTATCCCAGGTATCCAGGATCTGAAGAAAATAAACTTAGTACTGCCCACCCTATTCTAACCTACTGAGTTTGAATCAGTTGCCAACAGTATATGTATATGTAGTTTTTATTCACTACAGAGATTTTCTGGGTTAATATGTTAGTTTTACATCAACATGAAGTCTCTATCTACCATTATTTGAAATCTCAATGGCAGAGATTATAGATACTGTAATGCTTTTCACCAGGTCAAAAATATGACTTGAAGTTCATATTTGTTAATATCAAGTTACTAATACTGCTAATGTTAATACATTTGAGTGCATTTAAGCAATCAAACTTGGACAAAGCAGAAACACTCACTTCCTCTGACATTACTAGGAACTATAATGGAGGAGGAAGTAATTTACGACTGACAAGAGCATATTTTGTGGGAAGATTTAACCCATAAAAATGACAAACATGGCATACTCATTGTTTATACATTATGTACTAAGATATACCTTGTGCAAAATAGCACTGCTGAATCATACTGTGCATGAAGTGCATCATTCACAAGAACAGTAGGAAAGGTGACATTCAGTCATAGATGATCTGTCCTCTCATGATGGAAACATCCAAGATGGAGAAATCTCCCAATCACATGTCTCTGTTTAGGGGAAGCATTGAAAATCTTTTTTTCAATAGTGTGAAAAGAATACCAGATTATGGATCCATATTTTTTGGCCTTTTTCTATTGAAAATTCTACTATAGAGGCTCTCGTGTGTTCTGGGAAATCATCAATGTGATAAGAAGAGATCAAGATCCAAAGACACAAGACTAAAGCAAATGATTCATAACTATCATTACAGTTTTCAGTAAATATTCAATAACAAATTTACATTTGACATTGTTTTGATGTTCTATAGAGATTTAAAATGAAAATATCTGAGGCTGGATGTTAATTGGTCATTATGTGGAATAGGCTGAGTTAAAAGGTGACGCTCTTAACCTTGCAATTCCTTTCATATATCTGAATTACTACAGGATGTAATCACCACCATTTTTTCCCCATACAATTTCAATTCCTCACTGTCAATGAGAAGAGTATTTTATATTAAATTTTGGGAGTAAGAAAGAAGGTAAGAGATGAAGGAGTAGATATGGCTTTTACATGAAATAGTGATATGACTACATGAATAAATGGGAGTACTGAGCAGCTAAGATCAAGAATACAGGTTCAATCCATATACTTGTTAATTAACTTATTTGGTCCCACTGCAATAGATTGTCTCCCTCCAACCATTTATTCCATATCGGAACAATACCATTGGTTGTTATAAGCTAATAATCTTCACATATCTCCTCTATCACAAGATCCTATCAATACAGAGGCCGTGTTTCATGAGAAAAGACTCATCCCCAGTTTCCTGACTTCCTAATTCAGCACAGCTGTTCCCAGTGTAAATATTCTCTCCTGATAGGTAAAGGAAAACATTTAATTTGCACATTGCACTAGTGTGCTTTCATCCACAGTGTAGGTACATGATTTCATTTGCTTCTCACCAACCTATCAGAGACAAGTGGTAATTATGTCTAGCAAGTGCATAACACAACACAGAGCAATACAGAATGCAAAAACATTCCCCTCTCCACACATGACACTCTAATCCTACCAACTCAATAAGGTGAATTCATAACAAAATTTTGTTAAGTTTCACCAGGAACTAAGTAGAACGTCCAAAGAGTGATTCTGCCAAAGGTAACAGCAATGCTTCAAACAATGCCATCACCAATCCCAGTGAACAGACAAAAAGATGCAGGCACTCAATAACACTAATTGCCCTCCCTCTAATGAACACAAAGTAAGTTATGAGGACCAAATCTCAGGCTAGAACAGTCTACCTAATCCAGGGAAAGAACAACTCATGCCGCACAAACATGTCATCATAGCCATTGAACTGGAAATACCAGCACGAGGCTAAAAAGCTCCAGTTTCTCCACTTCAAAACAATCCCAGAACTTCGATCCCTGCCAGTGGGTGACCCATAATCTACCAGTCAACACTACTTCACATCTTATATTGTAAACAGAGCCACCAGACCACCTCCCCATGAAACCAAGCCCCACACCTCTCCTAAAGCCCAGTACGGAAATATATCACCACTGAAAGGCCTTTGAAGTCCGATAAGGTCCTGACTTACTCCTAACAGCACAAATTAAGGACAATCCTAAATCAAAACAAAAGGCCCCAAGTCCAGCAAACACCCACTCTTCCCTGAACCACAAGCTCTCTCCGCACAGTCGGTCGGCGTGGGGTCACTGTGGGAGGGTCGGCAGAGGGACCTTCCCAGCCCCAGGATGGGCCACAACTCTAGGCTACCTTTCCCGAGTTCACCCCCAATGAGGGCTGGGAACCAACTGTTTTGCGTCCCCATAACCGGAATTCCAGCCTGGAGACAGTATCAAGCTCTCTTGGCCACCTAATGCCCAAGCAAAGGGAAAGCCCGGCATCTAGACTGAGGCAGGACAGCACGTCCCGTCCCCGAGGTTGGCGCCGAACTTCTCTGCACTCAAGAGTCCCACGCGACCCCTCACCTCCCGCCACCCCGAGGGCGCCGGCGCCCCCTGCCAGGCGGGCAAAGGATACAGTCCCGGCTCCAGAACGCCGCGCCGTCCGGACGGGAGGGGCCCGCCAGGTCCGCCATCTTGAAACAACCGCCACTCCGGGCGTCGCGTCGGGGCCGCCACGCCCCGGCCTCCGGGCTCAGTCCCCATTGGCCGCACGGCGCAGAGGCCCGCCCCCGCTTGCGCTGCCGGCGGCGGCGGGGCGAGGGGGTCCTGGCGGAGGGGAAGGTGTGTGCCGGGGCTGCCGCGGGGGGCCCAGCCCGGGGCCGCGGGAACGAGCGCTGCGCGGAGCTACTGCTGCCAGACCAGCCCTGAGCCCCCATATCCACCGCGCCGCGCTCTCAGGCGCCGAGAACTACAGCTCCCGGCATGCCGTGAACTTGACGGCTGAGGCGCTGAGGCGGGGTCGGGCCCTCCTCCGGCCCGCCCCGCTCTCCACTCCGGCCGCAGCAGCTTCACCGGCCGCGCGCGGAGCAGGGACGCGAGCCATGGAGAAGACGTCGCCCCCGTTGCTGGGCTGCAACAAGCCGCACTTGGAGAAGCTGACCTTGGGCGTCACCCGCATCCTAGGTGAGAGGGGACACGGCCTACCGGGTGTGGAGTAGAAGAAAGGGGGAGCGGCGGCTTGAGGTGCGGGGTGGGCGGCACGGCTTAGGACAGTGTATGTGAGTGGGCGTCAACACTGTGACTTCGGTTGTTGAGGAAAGAGGGGGAGCCGGGTTTTCCGGGAGTGTTCTGAGGCAGAGCTGGAAAGCCCGAAGGTTCCCTCCAGTCACCCTCACCTGAGGTCCCACCCTAAGGCTCAGGAAGGAAGGGCAAAGGCGTGCAAAGGGGAGGCAGCAAGCACCTGACATTTGGGAGGTTGGGTCTCCCGAGAGGCATTCTTAGCCATAGCAGTATCCCTGAAACCCAAGCCCTTCCTCTGGTAGCAGAGCGAGCTGCAAAAATGGTGCAGCCAACCTCGCAGGGCAACAGCGACCACAGGCCTGAAGTGGTCCAAAGGAGTCAAAGCTTGCACCACTGAATGGGTTAGAGTTTTTCTTTTATCGAACGTTTATTTAGTACCCACCACTATGTTAGAGTCTAAGGCTACAGAGATGAAAAAGATACAGTTCTGTGAAAAAATAGACTGGGTCCCTAAAAGTGTGAAAGGAGGTCAGTAATCTATTGTTCAGAGGTAACACAGAGGAAGAGGGGACTGACCTTATCTGTCAAGTCAAGGAACATTTTCCAGAGGAGATGATGCTAAATTTTGAAAGACAAATGGGAAGTAGCAAGAAAACCAAGGAGGAGAAATGTCGTCTAGGCAGGCTGAAAAGCATTCTTCAGTTGCCTTTCCTTCACAATTATAATGAAATCCAAACATCTGTACCATGACCCGCAAGTCCTTCTATGATCTTATCTTTCTGCCTTTATTTTCACTCTGTCTTGGCCACAGTGACCTTCTTGCCTTAAACTCATTAAGCTTATCCCTGCTTCAAGGCCTTTGCAATACTGCTAGACCCTCCACCTAGAATTATCTTCCTCTGAATCTCTCTCTTCATGTCATTCAGACCTTTGGTTAAGTATCTTTACCTCAGAAAAGCCTGCCGTGAATGTACTTCTAATAACAACCTTCCTTATTGCTCTCTTTTCCCTTACCCCATTTTTTTATTCTTCACAGCACTTATCACTATTTGAAATTATGTATGTATTTGGTTACTTTTTAAATTTGTCTCTTTTCTGTAATGCCCAAGACCAAGTGTAATCTATCCTAGGAATGTGTGGTTTAACGTATGAAAATCAATTAATGTAATATACTTTATTGATAGAGCAAAAGACAAAAATCATATAATCAACTCAATAAGTGCAGAAAAACCACTTGACAAAACTTAATACCCTTTAATGATTTAATAAAAAACCCCAACAAACTAGAAATCAAATAGAATAGAGATAGAACTTCTTGAAGAACAACCTGATAAAGGGCAACTGTGAAAAACCCATAGCTAATATCATGCTTAGTGGTGAAAAACTGGCAGCTTTCCCCTTGAGATCAGGAATTTTAAAAGTGTCCCAAGACCACACCAGATTGGATAATTCACTAGGAAAAATTCAGGACTCGGGAGATAGTCATACTCATGGCTGTGATTTATTACAGCAAGAGGATAAGAAACAATCAGCAAAGGGAAAAGTGCATGTGGGGAGGTCAAGAAAACCAGGTGCAAGTTTTCAAGAGTCTTCTAGTGAAATCACATGGGACACAATTTCTATAGCAACATGCTGCAACATGTCTGAAATGTCTAGAGTAGAAGAGCTCACCTGAGCCTAAGAGTTGAGACCTTTTATTGGAAATCAGTCACATAGGCACCCTCTGCCTAGCCAGGTACTTAGTATGTACCAGAATTCCAGACTCCCTGAAGAAAAGCAGGTGTTCAGCATTAACCATATTGTTTGTACAAACAGTTTAAGCACAATAAGCCGTTCTTAGGGAATGATGGGAACCCTGAAATGGTTAAAATGGTAATTTTTTTAAAGAGGGTCTTGCTTTGTCACCCAGGCTGGAGTGCAGTGGCACATTCATAACTCACTGTAACCTTAAATTCCTGGGCTCAAGTGATTCTCCTGCCTCAGCCTCTTGAGTAGATAGGCTAGATAAACTATAGGCTCATGCTACCATGCCTGGTTAATTTTTAAATTTTTTGTAGAGACAGGGTCTCACTATGTTACTCAGGCCAGTCTCCAACTCCTGGCCTCAAGCAGTCCTCCCCTCTTGGCCTCCCAAAGTACTGGGATTGTAAGTGTGAGCCACTGTGCCTAGCCTAAAATGATCAATTTTTTGTGTATTTTACTACAGTAAAATTCACTGCAAAGTTACAGTAATCTTCAGAGTGACACTGGCATAAAAATAGAAATATATATTAATGGAATAGGATTGAGACACCAAAAATAAACTGTCACATTTATGGTTCATTGATTTTCAACAAGAACGTCAAGAAAACTCAGTGGGAAAAAATAGGCTTTCCAGCAAATGACTCTGGATATCCACATGTAAAATAATGAAATTGGACCTCTACCTGAAATCATACAAAAATTATCTCCAAGTAGATCTTAAATCTAAATGTAAGAGCTAAAACTATAAAACTCTTGGAAGAAAACATAGGCCTTAGGTTAGTTTTTAAGTGACCTTGGATTAGGCACTAGATCTTAGGTATGACACTAAATGAATGCACGAGCAACAAAAGAAATTGGATTTCATCAAAACTAAAAATACTTGTGCTTTTTAAGAATATCATCAAGAAAGTAAGACAATCCACAAAATAGAGGATATTTGCAAATCATATATATGAAAAGGGACTTATAGATGGAATCTATAAATAACTACTACAGCTCAACAGTAAAAGGCAAATCTAATTTGAAAGGATCAGATTAGACATTTCTCCAAAGAAGATAAACAGTTGGCCAATAAGCACATGTAAAAATGATAGCCATTAGGTGATATAGGTCAAAACCACAATGAGATACCACTTCACACCTACTAGGATGGCCATAATCAAAAAGATAGACACAAATGTTGGTGAGGATGTGGAGAAATCATAAACTGCTGGTGGGAATGTAAAATGGCACAGCAGTTTCAGAGACCAGTTTGGCACTTCCTCCAAAGGTTAAACACACACAAAACATAGAGTTACCAGATGACCCAGCAATTCCATTTCTAGGTACATACCCCAGAGAAATGAAAACATAATTGCATGCAAACACTTGTACATGTTGTTGGCAGCAGCATTATTCATAAGTCAAATGTGGAAACAACCCAAATGTCCATCAGCTGATGAATGGGATATACAAAATGTATTAGATCTATATAGTCGAAAATTATTGAGCCATGTGAAAGAAGTACTGAGACATGCTGCAACATGGATGACCTTAAGAACAAAATGAAAGAAGCCAATTGCAATAGCCACATGTTGTATGAGTTCATTTATATGAAATGTCCAGCATAGGCCAATCTCTAGAGACTGAAAATAGATTAGTGGTTTTCAGAGGCTGAGGGGATAGGGGACTGCTAATAGGCATAGGGTTTCTTTTTGGGGTTAGGATGCATAACTCAGAATATACTACAAACCACTGAATTGTACTTTAAAAGAGTGAACCTTATGGTGTGTAAATTATGTCTTTATAAAGCTATTTTTTAAAGTAATTCTGAAAACAGTCCTATAAGAATTCCTGCTCTAATCCCAAGACTGAAGCTCATGAGATACCATACCTTGATTATGTATGTTAAATGGCAAAAGAAATTATCCAGGTGGGCCTAATGTAATCACACGAGCCCTTTAAAACAGGCTGTTAACAGGGAAGTCAAAAAGATTTGAAGCATGAAAAAGATTTGTTATGCTGTTGCTGACTTCAAGGTGGATGGGAGTATGCAACAAGGAATACAAGTGGCCTCTGGAAGTGGAGAGTGGCCCTAGCTGACAGCAGGCAAGGAAATGGAGACTTCAGTCTTACACCCAGAAGGAATTAAATTCTGTCAGTAACAGGAATGAGCTTGCAAAGTTACCCCAGGCTCCAGATGAGAACACAGTAGCTGACACCTGAGCTGAGTAGCCCACCTGATATAAGGATAGACGGATAATTTCAGCTTAACAGAGAACCCAGTGATGGTGTGCCAGACTGCTGAGCTACAGAAGGTGACCTAGTAGAGTATTGTTGAAAGCTATGAATTTGTGGTACTTTATTGCTTAGCCATAGAAAACTAATACATTTCCCTAAATGTTTTAAAGAGCAAATGATATATTAACACATGTCAAAAGAAACACAATGCAGAACACATAATTATGAAATATGATAGTTGAGACCAAACATATCTGTCATAACAATATGAATGAGTTTACATCACCTATTAATAGAAAAAAAATTAAATCTTGCTCACAAAACCCAACTATTTGCTGTTTTCAAAAACATACCCAAAGCAAACTAATTTAAAAATGTTACATATAAAAAATGGATACATGTTTCTGGAGTCCCACAGCCACCCACATGTTTAATGACTTGAAGGACTCACAGGACTCAGAGACAATGCTAGTCCTAGCTACAATTTATTTCATTGATCAGCATGAGGAAAAGACATAGAGTCTAGAGGAATCCATGCACAGGCTTCTGAAGCTTTCCCTTCTATGAGAGATCACATAGAACACACTTATTCCTTAAGTAGTGAAATGCAGCAATATGTGTGCAATGTTTCTTTTCAGGGAAGTCTGCTTAAGACTCAAATTCCAGGGATCTGTCCGGTGCTAGTCACATAAGCAAAAAAACCAGCCACAGATAGTGAAATTTCAGACTCCCGGAAGGATAGCAGGTGTTTAGTAGTTTAGTGCCACTAGGGGGCAAAACTGCTTTATCAACACAGGAAACATTTCATAGGCCCAGTTCCCAGACAGCAGTCCAAGGCCATCCCCACAAGCTGGCCCTCCGGTTGGCTGTGTTAACTGTTTTCTATGCGGTCTACCCTTACCCTCACCACCACCATTATTCCTCCAGATACCCCACCTTCAGGCCTTGGCTTCAAGTAAAGTCTTATCAAATTGTTTGGT